TGCTCTTAATTTCCTTGCGGGAGGGGGTCGTTTAAAAGTACCGCGGTTCCGTGATATTTGAGCAGCTGCAGTGTCAGATACTTCTCCATCAGCTTGTTCGCCAGGGCCACCTTGCGCTTACCACGAACGATGTTTCAAGAGCTTCTACTCCTCGCATGTTATCACATAATCAACTTATTTTCGTGGTCAGAGTATTGGTCATCTAGAAGTTACGCGTTATCTGACACATTCTGGCGATGCATCGTTCATCAGCGCGAGATGGCTCTAGCGTATGAAGTATGTGAGATGCATCTGGACTGCAGGTATTCAAAGCCTCACACTATTTTAATGACTTTCCCAGCAGCTAGAAGCAAGAAGTGACACAGCACCCCACGAAATTTGGTCTTGGAGGAGTTATGCGTTGTCTGACATTCTCCGGTATTCGAATATGCTTTGATGATAAATACATATTCGTGGACAGATGCCAGTTTTACACCCTGCTTTATCTGTTGCGGTCATGAGTGCGACAGCTTTTATATCAGGTACACATTCATTCGAGGCAAGGATGAACTTGTCTCCTCAAATGGAATCTTTCGTTTGACAGTAAAGACTGACTCTAAATTCGCTTCATAAAATTGGAAAAAGATGCAACCCTGTTTTATGGTTTTTTTCAATCGACAGTCAGTGTTAACGTGTAACCGTAGCTATTAATGACCGTTTCTGTGATAACTTTTGTTTTGTAGAACATTCAGATAAATTCACTACTGTTATTACAGCAGAAACATCATTGTTCGCCATGTTTCTTTTAAACCATTTTTTAAAATGTATTACGAAATTATTTACGATTTAATTAAGCGGTAGCAATTAATTAATATTCACCAATAATGACAAAAAATTCCTTGTTAAACTGTTTCGATGACTAACTGCACCATTTGCTCGGATTTTAGGCACAAACACCTCTAGACTCGGCACCCCTGTTTCTGAATCGAATCAGACCGCTCTTCCCAGTCTTCCGCTGACAGTGGATCCACTTTTGGGTAAACGCATATGTTAAATGGAATTCGGATAGAATTTTTCCTATAAAGTTCGCTGACTTTTAGCAACAGGTAATCCTGCTACTCCGTTAGCCCGACGACAACTCGGGGACCTGTTTGATCAACGACTTGGTGTACATTGGCACAATTTCATAACAACGAGCGATTCAAAGTTTATCTTTGCCTGTGGCTACCCGGACAACAGCTTCCGGATCATCGACACGGACAATGGTTTTGTCACCATATTTACTTCCGTTTGTTGTCTGTCTACGACTGGTTGTCTGTTTAGCTCGTGTGCGGCAGGTGGTCTATGGACACAAAGCGGTGGTCAGCGTCTTGGCGAGGTCAGAATGCAACATCACGGCAGACTGTTTCGTCGCTTCCGGTTCACACGACTGCACCGTACTGCTCTGGCACTGGAGCTCCAGGGTCCAGTACCTGGTCGGTGACCATAGTTCTAACGGTCGGCGGCAGACGATTTTTTTGCCTGCGTATTTTATGAAATGATTTTTTTAGGCGAGTCCGTATCGCCGAAAGTCATCCTGATCGGTCACGACAGCGAAATCACAGCCATCATCGTTTCTGCGGAACACGGTCTTGTCGTCAGCGCATCGGCAAACGGCCCAGTACTGATCCATACCACACAAGGAGACCTGCTACGATCTCTGAAGCCGCTCAACACCACCTTCCGACGGCCCCGTTTCTTACTTATCTCACGCGAGTGCTACGTTCTCGTTTGCTACGATGCTGGCAACCTTTGTCTGTTTACTACGTCCGGACGTCTCTTAAAGGAAGTGGAGACCAGGAGTCAGATTACAGTAATATTTTTTTCACATTCATTGCACAACATAATAAAAGCCGTTTTAATGCATGTCAGTTTCTGCTTCCTTTAAATTACTTAGCAAACGTTAAGCCGCAGAAACCATAAGATTTCACTTATGAAACACTGTAATAGCGTACCGTTAATGAAGGAAGCAATTTACAGCGCCGAACCATTTAATACTGATCTTTGTTTTCACTTGTTTGTTTGCCGAATTTCGCTGTTAGCGTTCATGGTTTTACTTTTGAAACAGATACAAATTAAGAACTTTCACATCTTTGGCGATAAGCCGACTAAGTTTCAGCAAAATTAATATGATGAGAAAATGAGCTCTTTGATCAATTTCTGTAGCACCTCTAATCGATAACGTAATGAATTATGACCAGTTGTTAACTCATTTCGGTGTTCTACCACCATGTGAAATGCTGTTCTTGACACAACATCGGCCTTTTGTTTCTTGGCAGTGATCTGATTACGATATGGTAGGTACTTAGTAAGTGAGAATTTCCAAGGCCAAAAATGTTTAACCAGGGTGGCTGAATCGGTAAAGCGCCAGACTCAGAACCAAAAAAATCCGGTTCGAGCCATCGTCTGATCATGGATAAAGACTCACTATGCTTACCACATAATTTTAGATTCTATCTTTAAAAAATAAAGCAGTAATACCGATAGCATAGAAACAGAGATCAGCACTGCACCTTAAGCTTTATGAACAGAAAGACCCACAAATAGCCGCCGTAAATCATGAAAGTGTTAAGAGAGGCCGACCGACATGCTTACAAATCTCGAGTCGCTGGCTGACCACTTCCGTATTACGCCGAATCGCCACGTCTGTCTTGCAGACTTTCTTCTCTACTTCCTCTTTTTACACTAAGTTGTTGCTTAGCTTACACTGAGCGCTTCGCAAGCTAATCTCGGCGACCACATTGTATACT